TCCTTCATTTCATCAAGCATGTAATTTGTTTCAACGTCGCTCCAAAAACAAAAGTGTTGTGTTGCCATCTTGCGGGAGCTGTGCGAAACGCTGCTTGCTGTCTCAAGGACAGTGGTCTGTTTTCACAAGTGCAGATTGAGAAAAAGGAAAGAAATCAGAGTAAGGGTTTACATGCACTCAGAAACCAGACTACTGAGGTAAAATCCAGCTCTTCTAATCAGATTTCTTAATTTGATTTCTAGGCCTTAATCCAATCTAAAAAAATGTAGTTTGCGGTTTACATGACCACTTGAATAATCAGATAACTGCTGATATTGATAATGTGAGCCATAACTTACTGAGTCATGGCTCACATTATGATCTCGTTCCCATGCCCTACTAAGTCTAGACCACAACTTAATCATCTTATTCCCACACCTTGCCACTAATTTATCCAATAGTGTAGAAATGTGTAACAACTATCGAATCAATAAGTTGCCAAAAAAGTGCCAATTTGGAGAGCTCCATGGTAGCTAGTCAATCTGTCTAATCAGTTACCAATCCTAGCAAGCTTTAAAGCCAAAACACCAGCAGCGTCACATAGTTACAACTTAATCATCTCGTTCCCACACCTTACTAAGTTGTGGCCGTGCATGACAATCTTTAATAAGTCATGCCTTATTAAGTCGAGACCACAGCTTAATTATCTCATTCCCGCACCTTACTAAGTTGTGACCACGCATTACGATCTCGTTCTCATGCCTTATTAAGTCGAGACGACAATTTAATCATTTCATTCCTATGCCTTACTAAATTGTGGCCAGCACTCGAATCTCGTTCCCTTGCCTTACTAAGTCGAGACCACAACTTCATCATCTCATTCCCACACCTTGCTAAGTCATAGCCACGCATTACAATCACGTTCTCATGCCTTACTAAGTTGTGGCCAGCATTCGGATCTTGTTCCCACACGTTATTATGGCTAAAAGCGTCTTTGTGGATTGACTCTGTTTTGGGGTGAGAGGAGGAAAAAACAAGTAAATGTAATATTTTACTAAACTATCGCTTTAAACCGCTAAAGGAGAGAGAGAGAGAGAGAGAGAGAGAGAGAGAGAGAGAGAGAGAGTCAGGGAGAAACAGAGCAGAGCTGGCGTGTGCGAGGTGCGTGTGGAGTATTTACTCTAGTGTATGTGTGCATGAATGAACGCTTGGATTTGTGGCTCCTCAGAAAGCTCTTCACCGGTGATCCTGATGGAGAACACTGAGAGACACACGCCTTCATGGTAAGTAACTCTTATTAAACTGTCTTTGTGCAACACATTTCACACATTAGTTCATCAGTATGCATTGAGCTGCTTACCACTGGTCACTCTTCCCTCCGCATTGACCTGCACTCTTGAACAAGAAGGGTTCTTTGAGCAATGCCATAGAAGAACAACTTTGGTTCTCCTAAAAATACTTTACATGATGTAAGGAGCGGGCAGTATCACAATATTTATCACATATTACATCACAATATGCTTTTCTGGGTATATTGTGGATATGGTCAGCAGAGGTGAGAAATACAGGTCCGGAAAGTAAAACCTGAGCTAATTAGAGAAGCCAGGCAGTTGGAACCAAGTTCTGGACCTGAACTACACATCTCTGTGTGTAAGTACTTAAAGAACACTGACCAACTCCATGTTTCAGTACAAAGAGAGCATCATTAGTCCCGTTTAACTGGATGTGAAATGTTGAATAAAATCATTATGTTCATAGTTTTTCATAGTGTTTTGGCACCACTGAGGCTTATTTGTCTGTTGTAACTGATCAAACTCCAGAACAACAAATATATTGTGATACATGATATGATGTATCGTTCACCATGAAAATGTCTTTACACTATATGGAGGTAGCGATGAAAGATTAATCATTATATACTGAAATCGCAATTTACAAAAGTACAATTTCCTTCTAATTACAGCCTACAGGTCCTATGTGGGGGGTTTTGACCCCATAACACAGATACTGTCAAACTAATTTGTAGATGACCAATCAGAATCACCCATATGATGCTAACATGACAACACAACCACAACTAACTGGCAGCCACAACTAACTGGCCCTACATTCAGCGTTCAAGTCTCAAGCCAGAAATAAGTTGGTCTTCTTGGCCAAAAAAACAGGTCTGGATCTTAAATTATGGAAAGTAATTATAATTTAAATCGTAATCACAGCCCTTTTTAGGGTTTTTAAACTTTACGGTTCTTCACATTCGCACATCTCGTTTACAAAATGCTCTTAAAGTGACTTTGGAGAACCAAAAGCTGCTCCGAGTGCATTGTGCAAAGAACCACTAGATTTTTTGACACCGAATTTTTTACTCTTGATTTAGATTGCGCTTCCCGAACGATACTTTTTTAAAATTGCATGTCAAAAGTGGGTGTGGCTTAAGCCACAAAAGAGTATGAGGTGCAGGAAGTGGGTGTATTTACTTATCGCAGACTTATCAAGAAGTGCTGACGTTCATAACATGCATACAAAAGAGGATTTAAGACAGCCAATCAGCAGCCCACGCTGTGGAACAAGCATGCTTATTGGCTCACGGATGATGATATTAATGATTAATTAGGTATTAAAATTGCAACATGAACCTTTTTCAAATTTAAAGAACCTCCATACAGTGGAGCCTTAGCTAGCTTTATTGGGGCTAAATATGATTAGCATCTTCCATCCTTTGCCAGCATAACGTTAACTTTTCGCCCACACACCGTAAATACTGTTATAATCATCCGCTGCTAATCACAACATCGAAGTATCTCTTCAATAGGATTTACTTACTTTAGTTATTAATGAAAAAATCTTACCTTTACAATTTAGTTTTTTTTTCATTTTCTTGAGGCAAAGTTGTGAATGACATCATCATATAAAAGCTTGGGGCTAATCTTATGGTTAATGCTCATAATGGCAGGTCCACTAAAGCGTCCCGGGACAATGTAAGATAGGGCTGGTTATCTTAGCCAAATTTACTGAATGTTTATGACGACAACCAGCTACCACAACATGAGGTTTAGCAATTGCTAACTTTGTTAACCATTCAGCGGTAGTCCCTTAGCTAGCTAGTAATAACCAACATCAGCAAAACTGAAGATAAATTCTGTTTGAATTAATGAGGCACTACTTAGGTCACAAAAGACGTTAACACACAAAAAATGCATTATACGCATACAGAAAATTGTATAACCTAAGCCTGAAGCGCAGATGCCTTTACAATTTGCATATTATGCCAGTTAGCTAGCATAGTTCTCCTATGAACTCTAGCATCAACAAGCAAGCGACAGAAAACTTCTGTCTTCAGTATGTGGGGCTACCTGTATGTTCCTGTCTCGTTTCACTGTCAGCAGCTTGTTTGTCGTTTTTCAAAGCCATCTTGTCACGTCTGTTGCTAATACGTCTGTATCTATGGTGAAAAATAATTTAGCTCGTTGTTGTTACACGTACCCACTCACATGATTACATTATTTCATTCTTACCATTGGAGGGAGGGCCTTTATCAGGTGGGGGCCTGATGCAACTTGCATAGTTTGTGTGTGGGACAAACCATCACATGTAAAGATTCTAGGTCAGGGGTCGCAACCCAAATGTTAATAAGAGCTTTTTTGTCCTTTCAACAAAAATCAAACCACCTTGGGAGCCACATTTTATGTCCATTTTATTGGAGTAATGTTTTACCATCTTAGCTGTAAATATGTCTCAGTGTGTACTGATGTGCTACTATAGGCTAAAAATATAAACAAAAATGCAGACTTACTTTGCTCTGCTTTAAGCTTTAGCTCAGCTATAGCCGCTTTTCTTTCATGTTCCATCTTAAATGCAAATGCTACCATTACCATAGATGCCATTTAAGGGAACGGGAAAATTTGAACAAGAGGCTAGCAAATAGCTGACTTCAGCTTCGCGACTTTTTTATGTTTGAAAGTTTCTTGTTGCAGATTAAACGTATCAGGAAACCAGCTGGAGCGAATATAAAAGCAAATACGTCCGCTCGTCTACAAATTATCGATGTTTGTCTTAAATCTCTCTCTTTGCCGTTTCGTTAGCTACTAGCTAGGCAAGATCATTGTCTGTGTTGCTATGGTGACCAGCAGTCTGCGCTGATCTTCAGGGTTAAAGGGTGAATTAGCAGTTCTACATTAACTCCAGAGTTTAAGACCATTTATTGTTAAACTGTGTTGAACGATCAGCAGAGCTTTATTTTACTGTAAAGGAGGATTATTTTATTTTTACCTACAAATCTAATCCTGCTGTGGAGCCGAAACAGGGAGGTAAAAGACCTCTTTAACAAATAACAACTATTAACCTCAAATTTGTTGTATATTGCAATTAACTGAGAGAATGAAAAAGGTATATTAGCTATTTTACTGATAAAATTTATACTCATCACCATAAAGTAGATGGCATGGGTCAATGTGACCCATGAACGGTACATTCATTGCTAAGTAGTGCACAGAACACCCAGCGTTAAATTGGACGTTGCTCTGGATAGTGTCTGCCAAATGCCATAAATTTAAACACACTGTGTGTTTTTATCTCTTTTCGGGGACCAGATCCCTCCAGTCTAATGAAAATGTGGACATTATATGGTTGTGGGAACATTAGCCTGCTTTCCTAAGAAAAAATACTTATTACCCCAATACTGCAGCTTTAATGAGAAGGAAGTAAAAGATGCTGAAGCTAATTTTTCACTTGCCGAGATGAAGGTTAGGGTTGGTCAGGTGGAGCACAGCAGTATTTACATTCACTCGTACAGACTAGTGTATGTGCGTGTGTTGTTCCTGACCCCATTATTTCATCTTTGCGATCTTAGACTCAGGTGCAGAAGATCCAGCAGACACCTGAGGAGCTCCAGCTCCTTGCCTGACTGTCTCATTCTCGTTCTCTTTCTTTCTCTCCCTCTCTCCACCTCCCCTCCTTCCGCCGCTCCCTCTCTCTCCCTCAGCGCGGCTGGATTAGGCAGAGTGATCAAAGGCTCGCAGAAGAGCAGACGCGCTCCGAGATGGAACCCCTAAGAGGAAAAGAAAGAGAGGGAGAAATAGAAAACTCCAGTTATACCTTCTTGCGCTCTTTCGACCGAGAGGAAAGCGAATTTTATTGTGTACTTTCACCCTGTCACAGGGCTTTCTCAGGAATACCTGCATAACAAGTACAGCAGCGTGTGTTAGAGATTGAGCACGTGCTCCTGCTGTGAGGTTTCCAGGAACGCTGCACTAGTTGTAGTGCCGTGTCCAGCCAGATCCCGGAGCAAAAGGACCATGCCGGAACTTGCTGAACCGCTGGGACGAACGCTACGCCCTGATGGGCCGTTCGTCTCCAGCAGGTAACACACCTGTGGGTGCTCTGAAAGGGGTGAGACCACTAGCTGGGACCATGAGCTCACATGGAAATGCTTCTGAGCTTCTCTTGGAGACCATCTCCTCCTCCATGGCCTTCGTGCCCTTTGACCCAGAGGCAACTCTGGGCAATGTAATCCGCAATGGGTCATTTGGCTGCAACCAAAGTGGGATTATCTCGGAACCCTCACTGTTTGGAAACCTGACATCCAGCGGCGGTGTCTCCAGAAGGGAGGCCAGAGGGTGCATGGATCAGGCAGCTGAGTTCGGGCAGAAGAACTGGGCAGCGCTGCTGATCTTGGCTGTGGTGGGGGTCACAGTCACTGGGAACATCCTAGTCATCATGGCTGTCAGCCTGGAGAGGAAGCTGCAGAATGCCACCAACTACTTCCTCATGTCATTGGCTGTTGCGGACATGCTGCTGGGCCTCCTGGTCATGCCTGTCTCTATGGTGACCATCTTGTACGGTGGGTTGGATGTAGTTTTTTTACTTTCCTGCTGATGTTGTTATTGTGTTACAATTTGCATGCCTACACTCATCATCTACCTTAGTGCTTTGGACACTTAACTCCACCTATAGATCCACTTACAGATTGTAGTCCCTCTTTTGCGGCACAATTTGTCAGGCCACCTTTACCACATTCATAATTAGCCCGTTTATGACCACAGGTCTACTCTTGACTGGATATTATTCGAGTGATGGACCGTTCATTGTAATTACTCAGCTAAGTGGTCTGCCACCCAAAATATCCAGTCAAGAGCAGCTCTGTGGACAGAAACTGGCCACTGATGAAGGGCTAGAGCAGGGGTCGGCAACCCAATTGTTAAGAAGAGCCATTTTGTCCTTTCAACAAAGATCAAACCACTTTGGGAGCCACATTTTATGTCCATTTTATTGAAGTAATGTTTTACCATCTTGGCTGTAAATATGTCTCAGTATGTGCTGATAATATGGGCTAAAAAATATAATATAAATGAAAACACAGACTTAGGCCCAATCCCATTTCACCCCTCGCCCCTACCACTTTGCCCTTAGCCCTCTGTTTTGTGCGTTCATGTCTAGGGGTAGGGTGTCCCATTTTTTATTGAGATAGAGGGGTAGGGCAAAGTGTTGGGGCTACATGACCCTCCAAACAGAGGTTTTTCAGAGACTTCAAACAGAGTGTTATGAGGAAAAAAGAAAAACCGGCAAGATGGCTGAGTGAGCGACCAAAGAAACCCACAGATGTGAGAATTTTCTCCATTAAAAATTTACGATAACCATTATATTCTCTTAGTTTAATGTATTATGGTCATTTTCTACATAACAAGCATAAAACATCGCTAATAGTATGCTAATGTCTCGGTAGCCAGCTAGCTAACTTTCCCGTTCCGCTTTAAATAGTCCAGCAGTTCTGACGCCTGAAGCCCCAGAATGTAGCTAACTGCTGCACCATTTAAGGTGGAACGGGAAAATTTGAACAAGAAGCTGGTGAATATCTGACTTCAGCTTCATATCACTGAAGAATTAGGGGTGGGTGATAATAAATAATTGCCCCCCTCTTTGAAGGCATATGATTCCCTAAATGTAACTAAAGCCCAGCAGTGAGGAGCTGAACCTCACCCTTCTCTGCTGTCACTGCAGACGGGCCGGGTCGCCTACAGAGCAGCTCTAGTAGCTGTTAATGAAGCGATGTTTTTTTTTGTTTTTTTAATTTGAGGGTCCCATTTCGTAGGGCAAGATTTCTTGATTTCTTGAAGATTGATCTTCAGGGTTAAAGGGTGAATTAGCAGTTCTACATTAACTCCAGAGTTTAAGACCATTTATTGTTAAACTGTGTTGAACGATCAGCAGAGCTTTATTTTACTGTAAAGGAGGATTATTTTATTTTTACCTACAAATCTGATTCAGCTGTGGAGCCAGTTTATGGGTTTTAGAGATAAGGTTGCAGTGTTTGGAAGTTTGGTTTGGGGGTTTGGAGATAAGGTTGTGGGGTTTGGATGTAAGGCTCTAGGGTCTGAGGTAACTTTATGTTGTTTAAGGGTAAAGTTACATTGTTTGGAAATATGGCTGCAAAAGCAGGTTTCTGGTAGTGTGGCACTGGGAGGTAAGGTTGCAGAGTTTGAAGGTAAGGTTGCAGTGTTTGAAAGTAAGGTTGCAGTGTTTAAAGGTAAGGTTGCAGTGTTTGAAGGTAAGGTTGCAGTGTTTAAAGGTAAGGTTGCAGTGCTTAAAGGTAAGGTTGCAGTGCTTAAAGGTAGGGTTGCAGCATTTAAAGGTAAGGTTGCAACATTTAAAGGTAAGGTTGCAGTGTTTGAAAGTAAGGTTGCAGTGTTTAAATGTAAGGTTACAGTGTTTAAAGGTAGGGTTGCAGCGTTTAAAGGTAAGGTTGCAGTGTTTGAAGGTAAAGTTGCAGTGTTTGAAGGTAACGTTGCAGTGTTTGAAAGTAAGGTGCAGCTTTAAAGGTAGTGCAGTGTTTGAAGGTAAGGTTGCAGTGTTTGAGGGTAAGGTTTCAGAGTTTAAAGGTAGGGTTGCAGTGTTTAAAGGTAAGGTTGCAGTGTTTGAAGGTAAGGTTACAGTGTTTGAAAGTAAGGTTGCAGCATTTAAAGGTAAGGTTGCAGTGTTTGAAGGTAAGGTTGCAGTGTTTGAGGGTAAGGTTTCAGAGTTTAAAGGTAGGGTTGCAGTGTTTAAAGGTAAGGTTGCAGTGTTTGAAGGTAAGGTTACAGTGTTTGAAAGTAAGGTTGCAGCATTTAAAGGTAAGGTTGCAGTGTTTGAAAGCAAGGTTGCAGTGTTTAAATGTAAGGTTGCAGTGTTTAAAGGTAGGGTTGCAGTGTTTGAAGGTAAGGTTGCAGTGTTTGAAGGTAAGGTTGCAGTGTTTGAAGGTAAGGTTACAGTGTTTGAAAGTAAGGTTGCAGTATTTGGAGACACGGTTGCATTGTTTGAAGGCAAGTTTCTAGTAATATTTTGGCAGTTTCAGGCAAGGTTGCAATATTTGAAGATAAGATTGTGGGGTGTTAAGGTAAACTAGTGGTGTCTGGAAGTTCAGCTTGAGGTGTTTTGAAGGTAAAGTTGCAGTGTTTGAAGGTAAAGTTGCAGTGCTTAGAGATAAAGACAGTTTTTGGAGTTTCTGGTAATATTGTGGCATTTAGAAGCAGGTGTGCAGTGTTTGGAGGAAGCGGTTTGGTGTTTGGATGTAGGATTGTGGCATTTGGAGTTAAAGTCTATGTGTTGTTTCCTTGCAAGGCTGTGAAGTGTTGTTGGTCTGGCTCCTGCAGTGCTGAGATAGAGTGGTTCCTCTATTGTATGTGTGTGTGTGTTTGTGAGTTCACCTTTATGTACACAGTGGTCTTGTCTTTCTGAAAAAAAGCTAAATTTAAATTCTTTCAAACTCAAATATATATGTGTATTTAAAAAATACATAATAATAATAATAATAATAATAGGGTTGATTTAATATAACATTTTAATATATTTTATTAATGTGAAAATAATGGGTGGTAGGAAAATGCATCATGTTATTTTCAGCATGGTGTGTGTGTGCGCGAGTGTGTGTGTGTGTGAGTGTGTGTGGGTGTGAGTGTGTGTGTGTGTGTGTGTGTGTGTGTGTGTGGGTGTGAGTGTGTGTGTGTGTGCGAGTGTATGTGTGTGTGTGAGTGTGTGTGTGTGTGTGCGAGTGTGTGTGTGTGTGAGTGTTTGTGCGAGTGTGTGTGTGTGTGTGTGTGTGTGCGAGTGTGTGTGGGTGTGAGTGTGTGTGAGTGTGTGTGTGTGTGTGCGAGTGTATGTGTGTGTGTGAGTGTGTGTGTGTGCGAGTGTGTGTGTGTGAGTGTGTGTGTAAGGATGTAGGGAACTCTCTGGTTCCGTTTGTGTCAGTGCCCCCTGCTGCCTCCAACTGTCCATTCCAGTATAGTTCTTTTTCTTTCCCTCTTTCTGAGAGAACTACATCTCTTATTCTCTCCAAATTACTGGCACCTCCCCGGCTTTTCTATAAGGCCGTCTATCTCTTTTTTATTGGAACCCATCTGTGTATCTCAGAGTGTGCGTGTGCTTAACGAGCCATCCATCCATCTGTCCACCCATCCATCCATCCATTTATCCATCAATGTCTCTCTCTCTCTCACTAACTCTCAGTCTTAGTCGATCTGTGGATGTGAGTGAATGTCGCATGCTGTTGTTAATACAGTCTGATGTTAGAGCTGCAGCCTCATTAACATCATAATGTGTGTGTATGTATGTGCATGTGTGTGTGTGCATGTGTGTGTGTGTGTGTGTGTGTGTGTGTGTGTTTAAGCAGAAGAACCTGAGCCAGATTATTAAACGTTTCTCTTTAACTGTCAGACAAAAGAACTCATTAAACATGGTGATGAAAAGTGACGCTGATGGAAAATCATTATTGAACGACTGCGTCTTTATCTGTCTTGTGTCTTTTTCAGATGGAGAAGTTTCCAAAAATCCTGTGTTTGTTTTTTTGTTTTTTTTTTTTCGACCCAGAGGGTGATTTTTACCCTTGTGTGGTGTTCAGGTCTGTGGGACCCATTTTCAATGTTTACAACAAGAAAAAATGATGTGAATTATTATTATTTCAACCTCAGATTCTTGGTCTTTGCTCATTTTCTGTGAAGAACATATAAAATAACCCATTTTCAGTGTCTTCACATTACACATGTGGTGTTGGGTGAACCTGCGGGGAGTAAAAGTGTGGAGGTGCTGTGTCCTTCACTCTGTTCTCCTCCTACATGGCCTGCTGTTAGTGTGTGTGTGTGTCTGTGTATGTATGTGTGTATATGTGTGTGTGTGTGTGAGGGTGGACAAAATGGACAGGCTGCTGACTGGCTACAGCTGCTAAAGGAGAACCCTACGCTGGACACTTGTGATATTTTAAACACTTGGTATTTTTCAGGTTTAGGACTGAATTATCTCTTTACACAGTGATCCAGGTCAAACGGACCTCATTATAGAGAGAGCTGAGATTGTTCTGGACATTTTGATATATGTGGGCATCATGTTGCATGCAAGTGCCTTTAAAGGCGATTTTAAGAATATATGCAATAATCAGAGGGTTAAGGTGACCTGACCAATCTAAATGTAAAATTGGGCATAATCATATAAGTCATAGTATTCGATTACATCACTGAGAACACTTCACCGACATTTTGGTAGGCGAGTAACTGTGCCTGTGCTCTGATAGAGCTCATCTTGTCATTGTTGCTGCAGCTACAGCATTGCAGGTGGATGAAGACCAAGCGAAATAGACCAGAATGACCACGAAAAAGATGAAAGGATTGGCCACTTTAGCTGCAGTCTCCAGAAAACGCTACAATTAAAAGATTAGCTTGATTTGTGGAATGGATCCGTATAACCTGCACACCTCTCACATTCAGTCCAATGCACAATTAAGCTTATTCACATTTTCCCTTCCACCTTAAATGACGCTGCAGTTACAGTAGGCACCTTATCTGTAGAATGAATTTTGAAAATTTTTTTAAAAAGCAG